GCGGGGAAGGGGTTCCTTATATTTTGGGCAGAGGGAGGGGAATAGAAACTATGCTGAGAAACATGCCGAGCATTTTCCATAACAACTACCTTCACTCCAAGGAAAACTACTCAGTACAGTCGTATCGGACCTCTGGAAGAGGAAATTGGCCATCCCCAACCCGTCTAGCCTTGCTGCCTGAGTTATTTCATTTTTCTGTCAGGTCTAAAGAACTTCTTTTTAACATTTTTTTGTTGCTTTGCTAGCAACAAATTCATAGCCTTTCTTTATCTGAAAATATTTTACCTTCATTGTAAGGGATGTTTTCTCTGAATATAAAGTTCTATGTTGAAAAGTTTTCTTTATTCCAGCACTTAAAAACTGTCATTCCACTATCTTCTGAAAATGAAAAGCCAGCCAACATTCACGTTATTGCTTCTATTTGCAATACATCATTTTAGGGGAAATTTTTCAGGTGTTTTTTATCTTCTGATTTCAGCCGGCTTATAATGATGTGAGAAAGTTATGCTTTTCTTTGTATTTGTCCTATGCAGCATTTTGTGATATTTTCAATGTGAAAATTTGTAATTATCCACCAAAATTGGGAAAATTGTGGACATAATTCAAGCAGGATTCATATTTCATCTCTTCTCTTTTGGTAACTCTAAAGACATGTTTTGGACCTTTTTACATTATAAGTCACTGAAGCACTATTTAATCCTTTCAATTTCTTTTTAAATATCTATGTTTACTCAACTCCACTGATTCTTTCTCCTCTGATTTCCTGTTAAAGCTATCCAATAAATGTTTACTTTCAAATATTTATTTATTCATTTGACAAAGTTACCTGTTCATTAATAGCACATTTCTTTATATTACTCAGAATAGCCTTCATATTATTGAAAATTATAATAGGCTATAACATTACTTACTAATTCCAGTATTGGAGTTATCTCAGGATTGGTCTGTTACCTTTTTTCCCACATATGGCTTGTGTTTTCTCGTTTTTCATGTATCTAATGATTCTTTTTATTTGAATGATACTGTAGAGATTCTATGAAGAGTGATGACTTTTGTTTTGGTAATGTGTAGGTCAGTTGGGTGAACCTAACCTAGAGACACTGTCCCCCTGAAGTACATAGTGTAGAAGCCTGTACTCCATCCTCTCAGCCTTTGCTGAGATGCTTGTAAATTAATGTAACTCATTAGAAATCCCAGTGGAAATGTTCAATGACTTTAGTTAGAACCACTTGGGTGCCCAGTCTTGCTGCCAGTAATCAGTGAAACTTCAGTGCCATGCCATGCCATGGAGAGAGAGATGACAGAGACAGAGAGACAGGGAGACAGAGACAGACAGAGAGAGACAGACAGCGAGAGACAGAGAGAGGGAGAGTTCTGAGTTCTGAGCTTACTATAACCATTTCACTTCCTTCTCATATTGACCACTGCTCTGTAATGCAGCCACAACTGCCATGCTTCCTCCAGATACCAGAAATCCTTCCCAAAGGCAGTCTCTGTCACAAATCTCAGCACTAAAAGGAGGAAGTCCTGGGACTTCTTTGAGATGCTGGGGCTTCTTTCATGCGAAAGACACAGAAGGGCTGCTGAGTCCTCAGGGGTCTGGAAGATGAGTGAGGGGCATGGATGACAAATTATCTGATCCAATTTTGTGAATCTTTGGATTCTTCCAATCCTTATATATGATACAAAATAATTCAAACACATTCTGCAAAGTGTTCCCTCAATTTCTGATGGCTTAACTGGTACAGGGTATTAAATATTTCTGGGTGAAACTGACCTTTCTGTATTTCACAATATAGGTTATATTAAATTCTGACTTTTTGTTTACTAGGCAAGTAATAATGTTGAGGGACAACTAAGTTTTCAGTCACAAGGGAGGTATGGAAAGTGGGGTGAGGAGCGAGGTTTTTAAAGCGGGGGGTCGTTTTCTTAGAAATCAACCCTGACAGTTTTATTCCATGACTTAAAGTGGCAAGGTTGAGAGTCCAGTAAGCATCACAGCTCAGATTCCACTGATGTTTTTGGTTTTCAGCTATTGCAGTCCCACAGCTGGAACTAGTAAGAGATACTTCCCAACAGTCATAAAGATCCTTGAAATTTTACATTCAGTTATCCAATTTCACCACAATCAAGTCTCACATTTACTTCTGGGAATAGCATTCATCACCACCTATAGTTGTTATAGGTGCAATCCAGCCTCTAAGACACAATGGACTTATGATCCCAACACATCAGGGATATCTTTTCCTTGAATAAAATGGCAACAGGAGTTTCTTTCTTTTGATCTAACTGGCTCAGTAATCAATCCTTTCTGCTCTGCTTTTCTATGGCCTGGCAATCACCCTTTAGTATCAACTTCCGTACAGGTTTGCTTTCTTTGGTTGAGAACAAAAGAATTTAATTTAAAATCAAATTAAACACTGAAGAATACTAGTCAGCTTAGACTTCAAGAACTGAACAAACCAGGATGTGGAAAAGCAGGAATCATTTCAAGGGATCCCAGTGACAGATGCAGGAATCTCACGCTGTTACCAAAGGATGCCTCAGTTCAAACTATGTGCAGCCCTGGAATGATATTCCACATACTTAACAGCCGCTACAATAAGGGCCTCAGCCAAGCACAACAAATACTGACTAAAAGCAAACATCCATCATGGCCGTACTGATTCATGAAGCTGAATACTGGCCCTGCTTCTACCCGTGTCTCCAATCAAAATATAAAGGATGAAAAATCTGGTTGGCTTAACTGGAGCCATCCGTAGCTGACAGTTCACCAGAATGCACAGTGAAAAAAGGGAAAGTCCCCAGCATAAAAAAAAAACCATTCCAGTGTACACATGTGTGCACATAAACATACACACATATATTCAGTATTGACTGACTGCAAAATCATTTTACACATAACATTCTGCAAATGTCATATTTCATGTAATATATTGTGGAAGGCTCTCTACAGAAGTAGACATAATGCTTAACCTGTTTCTGCTAACTATACAATACAGTACTAAATAACCACAATTTAGGCAATCTGCTTGGCAGGGCACAGAATCCTTGTTGTCATTTTAAAAATTCTGCCATAAATATTATATGCATCTCTTTATTGCAGTGGGATAAATTTCCTAGATCTGGAATTGCTGTCTCCAAGGATCACACAATCATAATTCTCATAGGTCATGCCAGGTCACCATCTTCAAAGGCCTAAGGAGACAAATTTACACTGCTCATTACAAGGATTTGCTCTCTCACAGATACCAATACTGGTACTACACAAATTTTAGACTTTAATCTACCTAAGGAGATAGGAAATTTGTTTTCATTTGTATTTTTTTGTTTTGACACATGAGGTTCAGAAATTCACAAAGTTCATGTGCTTGAATGCTCCAGCTCTGTGTGACTTCCTTTTCTGTTGGCATTGCCAGCTGCCCTAACTGCTTTGCAGGTGGAATAGCACTTTTCCTAGCCGACATATTTTATGGGCTGTATATATGTTCTATCAGTTGACTTTTACATGTTTTTGGTGACTTTTTGGTTTTAAATTGTTATATAGGCCAACTTATTTTCTGCCTTTGCAGCTCCTAGGACTACATGTCCTACTTGTTAAAAGCATTTTCTTCTCTACATTTGCCTCTAATATCTTACTTTATAACTAAAGTGATAAATACACTTATCTTATAGTTAATTGTAAGGCATAAATGTACTTCTTCCATTTTGGAGATGTGGACAGACAATATCAAAACAATTACCATTTCCCTAAAATTGAAACACCAGCATGACATTATAAGCCTCATAGGAAAACAAAAAAACTATTTAAAAAATATCCTTGTTATTCTACCCTCATGCTTCATATTCCAGAAAAAAATATCAAATGTATCCTACTGAGACTGTTTTTCAAATTTACATTTTAATACTGAATACTTAATCTAAAAAGAATTTCTCCTTTTGACATATTTTCTAACTTGATACTATTTAATTTCATTTTTCATAGTTTTTAGTCTGTTTTCTTGTGTTTGATGTAACAGTTCTATTATTTCCATAAGATGAAAAACTTTTGTGTAGTCTCCTCTACGCTAGACTAGTGGCTGGCAAATGTTCCGTGAAACAACAGTAACCGTCCGAGGCTCTGCAGGCCACAGTCTCTATTACCGATGCTCAACTCCGCAGCTGTGTAAAAGGAAAGTGGGAATGGCTGTGGTTCAATTAAACCGTTTACAAAACCAGCAGCTGACAGGATCTGGGCCATGAGCTGTGGCCTCCCAGGAAACTCTAGCCCAGAACGGCAAAGGTTCTGTGAAGGTCGTGGCAGCCAGTACGCCTGACGTGGGTCATGTGGTTTCGGCTTTGCCGCTGTGGCCTGAAAGCAGCCACAGACCGTAAGTGGACTGGAGTGGTTGCTTGCCAATGCAGCTCTACTGACAGACACTGAGATTTAAATTTCACATCATTATTCTACTGGAAATATTTCCATTTTTAACCACTCAAAAATATTTTTAAATTTTGAGATAACAGACTATACAAAAATTTAGGAACACTTGGACCAAGAGTCAGTCTGCTGACTCTGCTCTGGCTGTTTACCCCAGTGTCTACGGGTCCTTGAAAGGGTAATACAATTTATTCATAAACCAGTGTCTTCAAATGGACTAAGTGCTGCTGAGTTTTCTCATTCTTGAGTAATGTCAGTAGTTTTAACTTTATGCACACAAATCTTTTGTTTTTTCGGTTCTCTTAGCCCATTTGTTCCAGCTGGCCTACTCACATTCTCTAGACTTTCTAACAGTGTCCTCAAAAGTCACAGTCAAGTTGAATCTTCCCACTTACATTCATGTAGATTAAATGTAAAGCCACAACTTGGCATAAGGGAATCAAGTTTTAAACACAGGCAAAACCTAACTGCCTCAATCACTCCATTTCTGATATTAAATCTGGTTTCTCCTAGCCTCATCCTACACCACCATTTTTTTTTTTATTAGAGCTGACTGTGGTAACTTTTCAATGTTCAAAAATAATGTTTTTAAAAGAACAAAGTTTACTGGACACTTAGTATGGACCAGGCATTGTGCGGGGCACATGCTATGCATTAACAAAGGGAGAGGACCACAATACAAGCTTTATATAAGTGAATTACATTTACACTGAGAAACTCAGCCTGACTGTAATGTGAAGAACAAATCTGTCAAGGACCAAAATAGAAGGACAAAGCGTTTGTGAATGGCTGGAGGGCATGTGAAATGACAATGTCTGGAGACTATGATGGGAGTGAGGGTGGGTTCCAGAGAAACTTGGGGAGCAAATCCACAGGACTTGATGTGGAAGGCAATGAGGGACAAGCGGATGACTCTCCAGAGTGAATCCGCTGGTGGTGGGCAAAGTGTGCAGTCTGCCTGAAGACTTTCCTGCTCTTCTTGTAGGCATAGGCTCTCTCTCCAGTATGAACTCTCTTGTGTTGGTTGAGGTGTCCAATTTGGATAAAAGTTTTCCTGCACTCCTTGCACTCGTATGGTTTCTTCCCAGAATGAATCCTCTGATGCACACTCAGGGACTGGCGATGGCTGAAGGCTTTGCCACACGCACTGCACTCATACGGTTTTTCTCCGGTGTGGCTTCTGCGGTGACAGATGAGCGATGACTTTGTCTTGAAGGCCTTCCCACATTCAATGCACTCATAAGGCCTCTGGCCAGTGTGCAGTCTCTGGTGCTGAGTGCAGGATGAGTTATCACCGAAGGCCTTCCCACACTCCACACACTTGTAGGGCTTCTCTCCAGTGTGAACCCTCTGGTGTTGGATGAGGTGCGTAGTCTGGCTGAAGGCCTTCCCACACTCCTTACATTCATACGGCCTTTCTCCTGTGTGAGTCTTCTGATGCTGGGCGAGGTGGGCCTTCTGGGTGAAGGCTTTGCTGCAAACCTTGCACTCATAGGGCTTCTCTCCTGTGTGGATCCTCTGGTGAGTGGCGAGCTGGGAGCTGATGCTGAAGGACTTCCCACACTGCCCGCACTCGAAGGGCTTCTCCCCCGTGTGGATCCTCAGGTGACTCGCAAGGTGTATGTTCTGCCTAAAAGCTTTGCCACATTCTTTACACTTAAAAGGTTTCTCCCCAGAATGTACTCTTTGATGCTGCGTGAGCGATGCGTGATGGCTGAAGGCTTTCCTGCAAACGTCACACTCATACGGTTTTTCTCCGGTATGAATCCTTTGATGTACAGTGAGGGATGAGCCATACCTGAAGGATTTGTGACACACATCACACTTGTAAGGTTTCTCTCCGGTGTGAATCCTCCTGTGCTGATTAAGCCCTATATGATCGCTGAAGGCCTTCCCACAATCAGCGCAGTCAAAGGGCTTCTCCCCTGTGTGGTAGTATCTCCAGTGACGGATAAGGGATGTGTTCTGTATGAAAGCTTTTCCGCACTCTACACACTCATAGGGCTTCTTGCCCGTGTGACACCTCTGATGTCGGGCAAAGGAGGAACCGTCACTAAAGGCCTTTCCACACTCGTTACACTTGTAGGGTTTCTCTCCAGTGTGAATTCTCTGATGGACAGTAAGGGATGAGCTCTGGGTAAAAGTTTTCTTACACTCATTACACCTGAAAAGCTTTTTTCCTACATAGATTCCTGTCTGTTTTATTACCACTGAGGTTTTTCTGAAACTTCTACCTGAAATGCCACTAGGAAGTCTTTCTTCTGAACTGTCCAAATGGAACCATCTTCCAGACTTGTTATACACGTGCTCTCTCCCTTTTGGGAGAGCTCTGTTATAAAAAGCAGCTTCTTGCCTGAGTTGTGTCTCTTCATCTGCTAGCTCAAACACACACTCAGAATCCCAATTTTCTCGGAAAGCGGAACACTCAAGTTTAGTGCCTGATGTTCTGTCTGTGACCACCTCAGCATATGAGCTCTGCTTTAGAAATAACTTCTGGACCTCATGTACAGATTGTTGACCTGAAACATACCAAGAAAACAATTATCTCCTTTATCATTTGCTAGAAAAGAGGAATATGGCCAACGGAAAGTTGGTGAACTAATTCACTAATTGCTGAACTAAAGAACATAAATTCTGCAGCCCTAAGAGCTATTTTACTTTTAAATATTTGGTCTACAATGTATATAAGACTGAATTCATATTGGAAGTTGAAAACAATTAAATACATGTAAATCAGTTACATATCCAAAAAGGAAGGAGTTGATAGGCTGTAGCATTCACTCCCTTCATCTCCCTCTCATTCCTACTTATGCTGTGGGTCTTCAGGTGGCTTGAAAGATGCATGTTCTGCCTGAAAGCTTTCTCACATTCTTTACACTTAAAGTGCTTCTCCAGGTTATCGCATCACGAAAGTTGTTCAAAAGAGCATGCCCATGCACACTGAACACTTTGTATTTTATGATGTTCATTAAAATTACCTGAAAGCCCAGATGTTTGCTACAGCCAGAAAATGGTGTCTTTATTAAGAACATTTTATTGGTATCTTTGAACAAAAGCTAAAGACGAATGAATTGCTCCAGCTCATTCTTCACATAAAATCATTTCTGCATTTCCCTGTTTGCTTCTACAAGTTTGAAAAAAATCTTCTTCCCTCAACACTTCTTCATGAAATGTTGACATTTTATTTTTGGAAATTTTTACTGGTATGTTTGCAATTTGTAATAATTATGTTCACCTCGGGGAATTGGTACCTATACATATCACATCTTTATCATTTTCACTTCCTCCCTCTCCCTTTCTCCCCTCCCCAGATCCTCTTCCCATCTCCACAAAGTCTACTCCTGTTTTCCAGCTTTACTGAAGCAGAGCTGACAAATAATTGTATACATTTAAGCTATACCATGTGTTTTGACATACATATACATTACAGAATAATTACAACAGACCTATTTAATATATCCATCATCTTACATAGTTAAAATCTGTATGTGTGTATGTGATGACAATACTTAACAGCTGCCTAGCAAATTCCAACTATACATTATCATTAACTGTAGTGATTATGCTATACTTTTAAGTGTCCAGAACCGGTCCACCACAGAACTGAAAACTTTGTACCCTTTGACATACATCTCCCTTCTCACCCAGCATCTGACTCCAGATAATCACTCTTCAACTGTGTTTCTGAGTTTGGCTTTTCTTGGATCCCACATGTTTAAGTGCCATCATGCAGTATTTGCCTGTGACTGGCTTATTTCACTTAGCATAGTACTCTGTAAGTTCATGCATGTTGCCTAGACCCTCAACCTAAGCAGGATTTCATGGGAGGATTTCTTCCTTTAAGGCTGAAGAATATCCTCTTACATATACACACACAGAGACCACATTATCTTACTCCCTTCATCTTTGACAGGCACTGGGTTCTTCCCACACCTTGGCTGCTGTGAACCGTGCTGCACTGAACATTGGGAGTGCTGACAGCTCCTGTAAGTAGGCTTTTCCTTTTCCTTGGCTATAACAGCAGTGGAATGGCTGATCATTTGGTAGTTCTAGTTTTTTACGGCACCTCCATATTGTCTTCACTAATAGCTGTAGTTGTTTAGATTCCCACTAACAGGGTGTAAAGGTTCTCATTTCTCCACATCTTTACCCACACTTATGTTTCCATTTTTAAACAACAGCTATCCCAACAGGCATGAGGTGGCACACTGTGGCTTGACTTTTACTTCTCTTATGACTGGGGATGTTAAGCATCTCTGCATATACTGTTAGCCACTCCATCTCATCTTGGAAAAATGTCTACCTGGGTCCTTTACCATTCCCCAACTGTGTTACTTGGCTTTTGCTGTTGTATGAGTTGCTTATATATTTTGGACAGTGACCCTTTATTGGATAAATGATTTGCAAATATTTTCTCCCACTTCGTAGGCTGCCTTTTCCTTTTGCTGACTGCTCCCTTTGCTGTGCAGATCTTCCTTCCTTTCACGGAATCCCATTTGCTTAGTTTTATCTTTGTTGCCTGTGATTTTACTATCATATACAGAAAATCACTCCCAAGAACAATATCATACAGCTTTTCTTCTATTTTTTAACTAGTTTTTATGGCTTTAGGACTTACAGTGAAGTCTTCAATCTATGTTCAGTTAATTTTTATGTGTGGTATTAAAATTTTCTTTTTTTCTGCATGTAAACATCCAGTTTCCCCAAGACTAAACACAGAAGACACTATACTTTCCCTACTGTGTGTTCTTGGTGTCTTTGTCAAAGACTGGTTTGACCTTCTCTGTGTGGGTTTATTTCTGAGATTTCTATTCTATCCCATTGACCTATATGCCTTATATGTTTTATGCAAGTATAATGCTGTTTTGACTACTATAGCTTTGTGATATAACCTTAAATCAGGAAGTGTGATGTCTCCAGCTTATCTTGGTCAAGACTGCTTTAGTTATTTGGGATCTTTTGGAATTCCATATGAATTTTAGGGCTATTTTTTATTTTCTATGAACAATGCCCTTGGGATTTTGATGAGAACTATACTGAATCTCTAGATTACTTTGGGTAATATTGGCATTTTGACAATAGTAATTCTACTGATTCATGAATCTGGAACATATTTCCATTTATTTGTGCTGCCTTCTTTAATTTCTTTTCTTGATAATGTATAGTTTTCAGTGCACAAGTCTTTTACCTCCTTGGTTAAATTTGTTCCTAAGTAAATTATTTATTTTCACCTCTAAGTATTTTAATTTTAATCACTATTACCAATGGAATTTTTGTAAGCTCTTCAGATAGTTCATGTTAGTGTAACAGAAATGCACTCTATTTTATATGTTGGTTTTATATCCTACATCTTTGCTGAGTTCATTTATTAGTTCTAGCAATGTGTGTATGTGTGTGTGTGCGCTTGTGTGCGTGTGTGTGCATGCACATGCACACTGTCTTTAAGGTTTAATACATATAAGATCATGTCAACTGCAAACACGGACAATTTTGTCCATTCTCACTTGGAACCCTTACATTTCTTTTTCTTACTAACTATTCCAGTGAGGACTTCCAGTAATATGCTGAATAGAAATGGTGAAAGTAGGAATCCTTGTCTTGCTACTGATCACAAAGAAAAAGCTTCCAACCACTCACTGGTGAGTATGATGTTAGCTGTGTGTTTGTCCTACATGGTCTTTAGTTTGTTAAGGTCCATTACTTCCATACCTAAATTGTTGAGAGTCTGAACATAAAAGAATATTGAATTCTGTTAAATGCTTTTCCTTTATCTACTGAAAGACTGAGTTAGTCTCCCTTTTTCAAAGCGACTGTTTTATATTCTCATACACAAATAACGAGAATTTGTTTAACCTCAGATTATATGCTTATAGGGAAGAGTGATTGTGCCTGAAGTCTTTTCACAAAGTCACTTAGCAAGTACCAGAATTTTACACACACAGAGCTACATCTGGTTTTTAGGGAGGTGATGCACTATATCAAATGTTTACAAAAAGATGTTAAGAAAAATGTTCTTAAAAATAGAAAAATTTTTTAAAAGTCTTTTATGACATCCAAAGACTGACAGCTTTCTGCCTTAATGCCTGCTTTAACAACTTCTACTCAACACTGCACTGAAGACTGTGGTCAGAAAATTAGAAATAAGAATGAGTCATCCAAATTAGAAAGGAAGTAAAACTATCCCTATTCACAGGTGAGAAAATCAGGAGGAATCCACAAAAAAGAACTAAAGCTGATTAATAAATTCAGAAAAATGACAGAAAAATGAATTTGGTAAAAGATCAATATACAAAAGTTAGTTCTATTTCTGCATACTATACATTAAAAGGGGAAATTATGAAAACAATTTCAGGAAAAATAGCATTAAGAGAATAGAATACTTAGGAATAAATTTAACCATGGAAGTGTAAGATTGCATGCTGCAAACTACAAAACAAGAATGAAACAACAAGACCTAAATAAGCAGGACAATGGCTCATGCTTTTGGGGGGATGACATGATAATGGTAAAACCGTAATAATCTATAGATTCAATGCAATCTCCACAAATCCCACTAGCCTTCTGTGCAGAAATAGAAAAGCTAATCCTAAAACAATCTTAGAAAAAACAATGTAGTTGAAGGACTACACTTTCGCTCTTTAAAACTTTCTACCAAGTATTCATTGCAGCAAGGTCTGATATAAGGGCAAACACAGAGATCAATGGAACAGAACTGCAAGCCCAGACAAAAACCCAAACATCTAGGTTAACTGATGTTTTAAGAAATTACTATTATTATATTTTATTTTTATTCTTTACTTCAATAATTTTATCAGGAAAAAAACACAACATGAGATTGTCCCTCTCAGCCAGACTAGAAGAACACTGGGGTGTACAGCAGATTCCTAGAACTTTATTCATTTTGCCCACCTGAGTCTCTATGCCCACACATTAGCAACACCCTGTTTCCTTCTCCCCCAGCCACTGCCAATCACCTTTCTCTTCTGATTCTAGGATTCTATTTTAGATACCACATATACTCGTGTGTAATCATGTAACATTTATCTTGTGTCTGGACTTAGATCATGTCCTCCAGCTTCACCCATATTGTCACGTATTGCATAAATTCCTCCTGTTTCCAGCTGAGTAATGCTGCATGGGGTATATATACTGGATTTCCTTTAACTATTCACCTATTGGTGAACATTTAGACTGTTTCCACATCTTTGCCATTATCGATGTTGTTTGTATAAACATAAAAGAGTAACATATCTTCAAAATCCTGATTTCAGGTCTTTTGGACAATACCTGGAAGTCAGACTTGAACCACCAGTGGTACATGCATGGCCACCCCATCGGGTGGCATGGGACAGTAGTCATGCATGTACCACCAGTGGTACAACCTGCCTGACAGGACAGTTACACGTGTACCACTGGTAGTTCAAGCCACCCAGCAACAAGACATACAAGTTACATTACTGTCATGAACATGTTAAAGTACAGTAGAGCCATTTGCTGATGTACTAGACAGTCATTCAAAAAATGAAATTCAACAACGTAACAAGTTCCTAAAGACACAGAGAGGAACTATCATAAAAAATATAAAGTATATCTATCATAATTTTAAAACACCTAATTAAAATGTAAATTCTTCTTATTATATATGAAAAATCATTTGAGATAATTCATCAAATAATTGGTATGTTTATATATAAAAATCACTGGGACTGTTCACAAAGCATTTAATACACAAACAGAGAACTGGGTGCAATAGAGGGACATTTTACAAGAAGGAGGAAGTGAGAAAAACCAAATTCAACCTCTTTCATAATAAAATAATAATTTCGGGCTACATCATCTTTCACTAAATAATGAGTAAAAGTTGGCATATACCTAAGAATGCTTTGAGGGTACAATTACCCGGTACTCCTAGTACCTGCTAGCTCACTGAAAACAGAACCTTTGAGAGCAGAGCCAATGCTCATACCCAAGGACCAGCAATCCCAACAATGAGCTGTTTTCACTGACATGAAGGAACCTGAGGACGTATGTGTTTAATACCAAGAAAGATGAAGTCACTTGGGCAACAGGACACTGACATGGAATGTACATGAAAAACATCTACATGTATGACTGATTATAATCGCTACTGTGTAGCAAGTACATATTTACTATCACTTAATGAAGTCTCAGATAGTCACACGTTACCATGTTGTAATAATGAGTTATCATTTTCTATTCTTTTCTAGTAAGTGACGGAATTACATTTTATACAAACTACTGTTTTCAAAGGAAATTTCTTTTCCTTCCCTTGTGTGTCAGGAGGGAGAGACCTGCTACTTCTGTCTTCTCCCCATGACTTCTGTCCCTCCCGTGACACTGAAACATGGAGCCACTGTCTCTATAATGCCCTCGTCAAAAATCTGCAAACTCCATGTCTTGCAAGCGATTCATGCATATCTCATCCTCTCCACCAGAACAGTTCTTCAGTGGCTCACATTTACGTGTGCCTTTTCTCTTTCTCCAACTGCCTGCAACAGCAAGCCATCACTTAACCTTCAGTCTGTGCTTCCACAGGTCCGGGTACATGATGAAGGGAGTGGCCATTTAACTACCAAACAGCAAACCTTTGGAAGATGCTCAGAAGTGTGTCAGGATCAAGAAAAGTCACTTAAACTGAGTGATGACCTACATCCCAGTGGTCAAGAAAAAACCAACGCTACAGGGAAATGCAGTTCTGGAGAGATTTCTCCAGACCTGGAGGACTTGGTCCAGCTGCAAGTGTCCACTCGGGGACCAGTTCTGTGGACAAAAGCTAAGTTCTCCCTGTGGTGGCTTCACCACACCACCCTGCACACTCACCTGCGAACAGACCTGCTGTCAGTTCTCTCTGCATCACCCAGCGCTCCTTCCCTGGCTCCAGAGAAGCCGCTAAATCTGGCTTAGAAACACAGTGGCCTGCATAGGTGAAAGACAGAGGATCTGGTTAACTCCCGGTTTTAAAATCAAGGAGCTGCTCCCTGGTTCTGACAGAAAAGCATTAGTGCAGAAAGAATCAGAACAGATGAGGAGGAGCTCTCAGACAATGCTTCACGCGCAAGAAAGAAACCAACTTTCACCCCCACCAATGCCAAGCCCCGCCTTAAGAATCAGGGGCAAAACTTCAGGAAACCCTTCCCTCTTCTCCACACTCAAACCTCAGGTAATGAAATGGGCCTGGAAGACAGACGTGCATCTGGGAGGGGGACATCCTTACCTAGGGGTCCCAGGCCACCACGGCCCTCCCACGGCACAGTCCTACAGAAACTCTTCTGCACTGGCTCCCGCTGCGGGGTGAAGTCAACGGCCATGTTCTCGATGGTCACCACGCCCTGAAAGCAGCACACGTTCTCCATCAGCTCTCACTCATGAACCTGTGTGGCCCCAGGCAGGCGGGCGGTGTCACGGACGATGACCAGCGTGCTCTACACCAGTGCTGAGTCACCCAGGTCACAGTGACTGTGCTACTTACATCGTATATGAGAAAAACAGGAGAAACTTGAGAGCCCGCTCAAAGTTTTCTCACGTTCACTAGAGTCAAATTTTCTCACTCAGGCTTATTGGGATCCATTCCAACTCAGCCCCACCCCACTACGTGTAAAGACTGTGTAAGTCTTTCTTCCGTCCCTCCTGTGACACTCTGAAACAAGAGGGTGATCTGCCCACAGAAAACACTGCATCCCGATGGAAACCCTCCCACTGTCGCCCTAGTCACAGGGAGCGCTGTTTTCTCTAGCCTGGAGGCTATTGCCTGACTCACTGGCCGCGTCTCAAACAGAGCATCGTAATTCCAGCACTGCCCCAGCAGAGAGTACTCCAGACTGTAGTTTGTGAACCTCTCTGTTCCAGCTGCCTGGGATAACTTTTCCTCAGATGAGTCCGCCTTTGGAAGTAACTCCTTGGTCTCACACACAGCCTTCAAATCTGAAAGATAGTAAGAAAGTAAATATCTCACTTATTATGTGTTACTACAATGAAAATTTATAAAATGCAACCAGATAAGTGAAAACCTTCAAAAAAGATATGTCATTTTAGAAGATGGTTTACATGACTAGCAATATTCCTAAATTTATACAGCTACAGTCCTACAGGATACAACATGCGTTTGTTCAACTGAATGCTGAACAAACAGCACATTATGTTTTTCACAGAAGACAGGAAAAAGAAATTGAGATAAAAGAGTTCACAAAGGTTCAAATCTGAGATAGAGTATTGTAATGTAAACAAAAAGGAAGCAGCAGCTATAAAGAAAAATGCTGGCCGGGTGCACTCTGGAAGGCTGAGGTAGGACTGGTTTGAGCCTAGCCTGGGCAACTTAGTAAGGCTCTGTCTCACAATTAAAACAAAAAAAGAACTGGGGATGCAGTCAGCGTGAAGGTGCTAAGTTAAATCACCAGTGCCACCACAAAGAAAAGCGCTACGTGAGCTTTACTCTCGCTTTACTAAGTAAAACTCCTTTGGAGCATCTCTCTTTATTCAACCGCCTTTCATGACAACGCTAACTCATTATGGCCTTAATAATGTCAAGTCGTCACAAAAATACCATTCTTGGCCCCCTGTGTGGCACAGTGCCCTGCGTGGGCTGTCATAACTTTAACGGTGCAACCTGTCCAGTCTGTTGGTACGAACTTCTCCTTTCAACCACGACTTGAACAAAGAGGTCTGAGAACACTCCGTTCTTTTGAAATGGTCACTGTTTCCTACTATAATAAAGCCTCCACAAGAAATCAGAAATTCTGAGTCCCTGCCTTCCTTGGTTGTGGTTGGAGTAATAATGCCGTGCTTGGAGTCTTGCGCTGTATTCCCGCACAGATGTCACCAAGACATCTTTCAGAGCGTTCCACTGAGTCAGGACCGCTGTTCTTTTCTCCCCAGAGCCAATTACTACACTGCTCGCTGCCCATCTGCAGTAAGAAGTCCACCTGGACCCCACATCTATTTCAGCCCAACCTAAATCCATCTCCTAACTTACCTCTTACCTCTAATGTTTTTGTTTGTTGCTTCGTTGGCTTAAAACTGTGAGTGACTTTTCTTCCTCCTCCTAAGTCCCTATCTTCTCTTCCCTTCACGGAACAGCAGTTCCTAGTGCACTTCAGTGATGTATAGTTCTGTTCTGTCTCCCCTGGGTCATGGCTGGGTCTTCAATGCATATGCTCATCTGGCCACAGCCTCCCTCGAAGTTGTGACTCAGTGAAGACAGTAAAAACTACATCACATGCACCCATGTTTACAGCAGCACAACTCATCACAGCTAAATCCTGGAAGTAGCCCAAAGGTCCATCCACAGACGAACGGATAAAGTGCACAGTGGAGTACTACTGAGCCATAAAGAAAGATAAATTTGAGTCGGTTACACAAAAATGGATTCACCTTGAGACTATAATTGTGTAGTGAAATAAATCAGATGCACGGCTTAAATGTCGCATGATTTCTCATCTGTGAAACACAAAATATAAATAAAGACCCAAATAAAAGATAGGAAATAGGGAGATAGAAATCTTTTGCAAATGGGAAAGAGATGGAGAGAGGAGGGAGGGAAGGAGGTGAAAGGGACAAAAAATAATTAAGATGTGTTCTGCACATGTACCAACTCCCCACAATGGCTGTAATCATTATGTACTGCACACACGTACCATAAAAAAAATCTGAACAAAACCTACATCCAAATAAGCAAAACAGATGTTTGCCAAAGAACACAGATTATGGAATTATGAGAGAGAAGGGACAGCAGGGCCCTGGAGCAGAGGAAAGCATGGGACCTTCAGAGGGAAAGCAGTGTCAGAGGGCGGGCCCAGGAGGTGTCTGCTGAAGACATGACCCATGCGAGGCAGCCCGGCTGGCACCAGCTCCACGTGTTCCCTGTCCCCATACATACCAGGGTGCCGGCTTCCTGTCCTTTTTCTTCTTGCCATCCAGGGATCTTGTCCTTGCTCCAATGAGGAGATCATATCAGGCTTAGAAGCACAGAGGCCTAAATACATAAGAAGACCAGGACGTGGCCACACTGTGGATCAGTCCAGACCTCAGACCCAGTCCCCTTAGCTCAATGGAAGAAGACAGTGTACAGGGCAAGGGGTCAGAAAGGGACAGGACATCCTTACCGAGTGATGCCAGGTTCCTGTAGTTCTCCAACATTACCTTCCTATACAAACTCCTCTGCATGGAGTTCAGCCATTCCCACTCCTCTTGGGAGAAATCTACAGCCACATCCCTAAATGTCACCAAGCCCTGAAATGACATAACCATATTCTTGCTCAATCAGAGATCATGGCCCAAGGGCTGTTACTGAATAAATCCCCTCCCCCACACCCCTAGGTTGAAACCTCTGGCCCTAGGACCTTGGAGGATGACTGCACTTGGAGACAGGGCCTTTAAAGGGGTAAAGTTACATGAGGTCATACAGTGCAGCCTCATCCAATTGGACAGGGAGGAACAGATCTCAGACGAAGAGGACGAGACAGCAGGAGTGTTCACACAGTATGCGGTCACAGGGAGAAAGGACAATCTGCAAGCCAAGGAGAAGCCTCAAGAAAAACCAAACCCAGCAACACCTTGGTACTGACCTCTAGCTTCCAGAACTGTGAGAAAAGAGGTTTCTGTGTTTTGACACCTAGTTGGTAGTCTGTTTCAACATCCCCAGCAAAATACCGTGGGGTCCAAAGATCACCTTGTGTCCACTTCAGTAAGAGATGCATATTTAGTTATTTGGAGAGCTAGATAACTGTTGGACAGCTTGCTTGCTTCTTTCTTTCTTGTGCTGTGGACTGGACCAAGGACCTAGCACATACTAAGAATACATTATACTTGCATCTCGCAGAAGCTGGTCTGAAGGCATTACCTCAGAGTAAAGAGAATGAGATGGAGACCACCCTGCCCTTGGAGAACTAGCCATCTGGGGGAGATGAAAAGAGGCATCACACCCACAAAATAGTCTATTGATTCCAGACAACAAGACTAACTTGCTCTGTGTTGAGCAGGTACACTACAGCATTTCCCAGCCTAAGGTGTGTGAGTGGCCTGCAGCAGAACAAGCAGAAAACAAACCTGGGGATGATCTTCTCCAAAGATAAGCAGGGAAATCTCCAAGCTGGGGTGTAAGGGTTTCTATTTCACTTTTAGTGGTAACTCAATGTTCATTAAAACAAAACATAATCATATTCCTTTTTCTAAAATAAAAAAGTGTGCAGGATATAAAATCAACATTAAAAAACAATAGCCTTTCTATAGATCAATAATAAACAATCTGAGAAAGAAACCAGAAAAACAACTCCATTTACAAGCATCAAAAAATTACCCAGGAATAAACCTAACCAAAGAGGGGAAAGAATGCTATAATGAACATTACAGATGAATGCAGAAAGAAATTGAAGAAAATGCTAGAATATGGGAAGACCTACTATGTTCATGGATCAGCTTGAAAGTGACCTATAGACTCAATGCAAATCTATCAAAATACCAATAGCAATGTGCACAGCACTAGATAAAATAGCCTTAAAACTCATCTAGAAACATGAAAGACCCAGAATAATAAAGGGAATCTTAAGCAAAGAGAGAATCAGAAAACCCAGTTTTAAATTATACTACAAAGCCATAGTAACAAAAACAGCATGGTACTGACACAAAAATAGACATAGACCAATGGAATAGAGGACACAGAAACAAACCCATAAAAAGGAGTTAAAAATATACATCAGAGAAAAGATGGCCTCATGGGCTGGGGATATAGCTCAGTGGAGTAAGTGCCTGCCTGGCAAGCACAAGGTCCTGAGTTCAATTCCTGGTACCAAAAAAATAAAAAAATAGAAAAGATGGTCTCTTTAACAAATGACACAGGGAAACTGGATATCCATATGTAGAAGATTCAAACTAGATCTGTCTCTCACCCTATAGAAAAATCAATTCAAAATAATCATAGACTATGTATAAGGCCCAAAACTTTTAAACTGTTGGATGAAAACTCAGGGGAAACACCTGAAGCCTTAGGCACAGGCAAGGAGTTCCTGAATAGGAATCTATGAGCACTGCATGCAATCACAGCAATAATCAACAAATGCGACTACACCAAACTGAAAAGTCTGCACATCAAGGGAAACAACCAACAGAGTGAAAGGACAGGCTGAAGAATGGGAGGAAATCTTTGTCATCTACTCTCCTGATAGAGGATTAGTATCTAGAACATATAAAGAATTCAAAAAACAACACAAAAAGCAAATAATTTAACCAATAAAAGGATAAATGAACAGACACTTCTCAAAAGAAGTACAAATGGCCAATAACTAAGTGAAAACAAGTTCAACATCTTCACTTTTCAAGCAAATGCAAATCAAAACTACACTGAGATTTCATCTCGCCCTAGTCACAATGGTTATCACCAAGAATACAAACAACAATAAATCCTGGAGAGGACGTGGAGAAAAAAAAACTATGTACACTGCTCATGGGAATGTAAATATAACTGCTATGAACATCAGTATGGAGGTTCTTCAAAAAACTACCAACAGAAATTCCATATGATCCAGCTATACCACTTGCAACTTCAATGCTGTGATCAGGGAAATGGAAAGCAGTTTTTCAGAGAGAAGAGAGAGCAACAGGGGAGTGAAGCCGTGGATGCAGGAGGTGATGAGCTAGGCCGCAGAGGGCTCATCAGTCACACTGGGGGTTTTGGCCTTCTTCAGGAAGTCACTGTAGGCTTTCGAGCAGCAAGTGCCAGGCCCTGGTGTTTGCACAGAGCCCTCCAGCTGCTGCACTGGGGACAGCTTGGGCAGAAGCAGGCAGTCACAAAAACACAGAAGCAGAGTCACGAGGATCCCAACCGAGGTGGGTCTCCCGGAATCCTGCCTGAGTGGGAGCTCCGATGCAGTAGGCACTGAACCAACAGCTAAGCTACAATGTGCGGTGTGCTTCCCCAAGGTGCAGGCCCCCACTCCTGAGAGTCCCTCTGGGAAAGGGGGACCAGGGAGGGGCTGAACCATTGCATCGGGAGTGTACACTGACTGGGTCGGAGAGGAAGCAATGGGGGGAGCCCTGGGCAGTTTAAACCTATCTGTTGTGGTTTACATCTAGATGAGCCCCCTCAAACCCTCCTGTGCTCATAGGTGGGGCTTCTGAGAGGGGACTGGATCACGGGCGCCCGACACTCATCAGTGGATTAGTCCGCTCCTGACTTTAGAGCTAAGGGTGATGCTGGAGGAGGTGGGTCATGGGGGCGTGCCCTGGAGGACCTGTCTCCCTCCTCTTCCCTTGGTCTCCTTCTCTGCTTCCTGCCTGCCACGCTAGCAGCAATTCTCCTCCGCCACGCTGTCTGCCTTGGAGCCAGCCGTCTACGGCCTGAAACCTCTACAAAGTGTGAGCTAAACAAACCTTTCCTCCTTTGAACTGTAGGTGTCCGGTACTGTGTCTCAGCCACGAGAAAATAACCAAGACACTATCCCCACAGCCCGTCATTCACCAGAATTGGAGGAAATGGGAACCAGCACCCAGGACAGGGCTCTTAATATGAAAACTTTTCAGAGAAAATATCCACCATTAAGTACTGAAAAAAGCAAGGGTATTTCAGCGAGGGGAGAGGAAATGCCAACTCACCTGGGACATGACTTTAAGTTTAGTTCCTGTCCCTGCGGCCGCCGGCCTGGGGCTTCCCTCGCGGAGGGCAGTGTCCCTGGAAAGCAGCGCTGGGGGAGAGAGACCAAGTGTAGACCAGGCTCCCAGAGCACCACCCTAGGGATGTCCCTTTCTGCACGAGCAGGGGAGGGCCGTTTTCCGGGGGCCGGCGGGATCCCTTTAGCCCGCCGAGAGCTGTCACTAAGTCGGGGCAGGGCTGCTCCTCTTTGGGATCACGGAGATGAGAACGACCCTGGGGAAGTCACAGACCTTTCGGCCTGCTGATCTCTGACCCTTCCAAGTCTCCGGGTTCCCCACCAGCCTGGCGGACCAGGGGTATCCATCTGCAGCACCGGGGCCCCACGAGCCCCGGACCTCGCCCCTCGCCCCAGAAAGACAGGTCCGTCCCGGCGGCCCCCCGCGACCCCCGCCAG